TTTCGTACTGAAAGCGTTGTGCAACGTCATGAACTGCCACGCTTATTAAATCGCCCAACAATTTCTTCGACTGCAACGATAATCGCCATTATCCATTAGAATGATGGTTAAATTGACTGTCTTCTACCCTGGCGCTGTTTTCCACCTAAACAACAATTACGGAAATTGGCGAAGACAATGAAATAACAGCCTGTAGAAAAAGGAAAGCGTATTTGAAGACGTCAACTTTATCGTTTGGTAAAATTGGCGTAATTGCACGTCCAATTACAACTTGGCCAAAGTTGCAACATTTCAGGCAGAATGAGCGTAAGAACCGATAATCTAGCCGGATGGCATGTTCGTCACTATTCTTGCGCCAGACCTCGATCTTCAATTCGAAAAGTCGGCCCAAAGGAATTTTTTTAAGGGTGGAATTCTTCGAAAGGTACCTGCGATCCTTTCAGCCCTGCTTCGATTACCTTACGATTATTAGTCAGGTTTCTATTGTTGGCTTCACATTTTTCAAATCCCTGAACCCTAATGGGAGTACCTGAACTCTGAGGGACTAACGTAGAGATTTTGGCTGATTTTAGAAAAATAATTCCACAACAGTTGATGGATTGATGACAAGGCAAATAATCCATCCAAAAGCTGCTACTTTAAATGGGTATGAATGAAAGATCCGGTTTCTTTCTAACCCAGATTGTACCAAAGATACACCTGTTTAAAAATACACCAACTGCAATGTATTCACAAAAAACGAATGGTTGTCGTTTCATTTTCTTAGTGCTTCATCAACTTCTTTTGAAATTGTTTCCCATCTTCAACTAGTCAAAATGGAAGGTTTACTCTTTCTTGTCTGTAATGTTTCACTAGTTTTTTCACAATGTCTCAATTGCTGGCCATTTTCAAAAGAATGTGTCTTAATCAATCGAATTTCTACCGAAAATTTAGTAGGAATATTAATAAAATCCCAGTTAAGCATCCAAAAATGGACTCAAGTCTAATGGAAAAGGGCAGAAATGTGTTTCTTACCATCGCTAGTCAGTTGCCTGGTCTTCAAAATAAAACAGTAAAATATCCGAAAAAGTTACACTATTCACATTGTAAACTGAACACAAATCAGCAACACGTTTAGCCTGGAAGACCCGAACGCACACTAGCAGATATGCGAAACTTGAAGACTGAAAAACTCTTTTTTTGTTCAATATCTGCGTTTCACATAAAATGCTGCTCTGCTGGTGTGAAAAATGAAACTGCCAGTAAAGGAATAATAAACAATCTGAGCAATTCTTTGGCCAAAAGGACAGTAAATGAAACCTAAAAAAATGACAAAAACAGACAAGAGAAAAATTTTGACCCATTTATCAGCCAACTAAAGCAAAAAAAATCGACCATCATCCTACACAATCAGGCGCAAGTTTTAATTCATTTTTGCACAGCTACACCCATACAGCTGAAGATTTTGCCTTCAGGCTTAGATTAACCCAGAAACCAAATCATTAACCTGCGGAACAATATGCAGGGTATTTCGGCCAACCTGTTTGCTTTTTTATGGCAAAACAACTCAGTGTTTCAAGAGCGATTGAGGCTTCTTGTACGATTCGCACTGAAAGTGGACGAGATTTATCAGTGTCCTACATTCAACTCTCTTTTGGTTGATGTACGTATTTACGGAGGCTTAATTTTATATTTTTTCAATAACTTCAGTTACTGCCAGAGGGACGATTGGAATAGTAGCAAGTTGGCAATAAAAATCGAATTAACCGCAGTTACTATATTTGGATGAACCAAAGCAATAATCCTTGGCCAAACGTACCGCAAACACCAAGTAAATAATGATTTAGTGTCGAGTAACAAGGAAGAAACCTAAATATAGCCCTGTTATGATTGCTATCATTGTCTGCTGGCCATAAGTGATTTTTTCGCACTCACTGTCGCTTGTATTCATATAGTTATTAAACAATACAATTCCCAGCCTTAAAGTGGGCAATTTCAGGCTATCATTAAGCAGATCATCTTTTATAATTGCAGTAATGCGAAATTAATGTCCGCGAATTAAGGGGGAAGTACATTTTTTATTAGTTTTTTATTGAAACCATAATGTATTCGTTTTTTTACACAGAGATGTGATTTTGGGCAAATTTGCACTGAATTCGAGTAAAACTTCCCTTGTTTGATGCTTTAGCTGGGCTGAAAGCTTATGGTTTCTATTGCTTTGGTTTGAACACTAGATGTTTTGAGAAAGAGTCGCGATCAAAAGCCTATAAAAAATCAGAATCTGAGTGCATTCTACTGAAATCTTGCCTGAAATTCGCCCTAAATGTCGCGTTYACTAYATGGAAAATTTCAGAGCGCTACTTGCTCTAGTTTGATTACGGGATGTTTTTGAATAAACACCTGAAAGTGCTTGATACACCTTTCCATTCACGTTTGAGAGGCTCTAAAAATTCAAATTATGCCGGATTTGAGTGAAATTGCTTCTCAGTCTACTTTTGAATGTTGTATGTTTTGTTGCAAAATTTGCACTCGACTCTTAATTCTATTTGGAACCGAGACACTTTTTATTGAGGGGTTAGCCGGTGTCTAAGATTGAGCCCGTTTCTGCTCACGTTTGAAATCCTGTGAAAACTCAGAAGCAGATTCGATTCCAATGAAACTTTGTGTGCGTATTTGACTAAATGCTGTTTTTATTGCGTAAAAATTTGMTCGCTACTCGCTACTTGATGACTCCAATGAGTTCCGTTTGAAAAGGAGATTTTCTTAATGAGTGCTCATCTAGGGAGTCTCTATTATTGCTTCGGTTCCCTCCTATTTTTGAAAACGTGTGAAAAATGAAAACACACTCGATTTCACTAACATTTTGTGCAGGAAATGCCATAAATATTATTTGCATCGCGTTAAAATTTTAGATCGCTACCTAATGTGGTTTGCAAATGCGAATTTTTTAAAAGTYGMTAGTCTCMCGTTTGAAAAGTTMTGAAAAATCCAAWTCGGCCTAGATTTYAGYCAAACTTTCTYTAATTGTGGTTTTGGATRCTAGAGTTTTGGGGCAAAAATTTTAAGGCCCGGCCTAGTTTYGTATGAAAATGATAATTTTTTYAAATGGGTCTATAATTGCTTTCGTTCAAGCTTATGTTGGATGGCTTATGTTGGAARCCTCMGACGTGGACTAGATTCCACTGAAACCTTGTCCAGAAAAAGCCCCAAATATTGTATTTTTATTGTGTGAAAAKTCCAGTTKATTAGTTGGTTTGGGTTGAAAATACGAATTTTTCAAATTAAGCCGCGGAATGTCTCAAGTTTTASGCACGTTTGRGAGTAAAACAACGGAATCTGGATGGTCATGTGTGAAAACCTGTRAAAATTTGGAGTCGCACTGGATTTCATGGAAAGTCCGTGTTTGAGGATTGCGCTAAATATTATTTTTATTGCGTTAAAATCTTGAGTCGCTCCTTAGTTTGGTTTGTAAATGACAATTTTTCAAAATAAGCCTTAGACGTGTTTTGTCCAAAGGTTTTTGGCGCGTATGAGAGGTTCTGAAAAATCATATTCAGCCCGGATTTTAATGCAAATCCGTTTAAGTTTTCTCTTATGTGTTATATTTTTGGTGCTAAAATTTCAAAAACTCACTTACATCTGTTTAAGAAAGAAAAATTTTTACATGTGCTTCCAGCTAGTTTATGTTTGCTTCGAATGAGATTCATATTTGAGAGCCTGTGAAAAATCAAACTCGTTGTGGATTATAGGGAAACTTTGTTTAAATATGGCCCTAGAAATTATTTTTACTGTGTAAAAATTTCAGGTTGCTCCTTGGCTGGGTTTGAGAATGAGAAGTTTTCAAATTGCGCTCATGGAAGTGCTAATGATTATATTTTTCAGTCACGTTTGACACGCCGTGAAAAATCGCATTCTGACTGGATTTGAGTGAAACTTTCCCTAATTGTTCTTTGAAGCATTGGTTCTGTTCTGCGAAAAGTAACCAGTTACGTAAATTTCATATTAATTTTTTACTTAAATATTTTTTGAACCTTGTTTTTCTTAGGACGAATATTCCTAATATTTTCATCAGCTTTTTCCAGTCTTAATTAAAATTAAATAAGTTGGTATTAAAATCAACTTTTTAAAACAATTTTTAATTAATACAATTTACAAAGTGGGTGTTTATAATATAGTAGCAGCAACAATCTGCTTATAAATGAAAATTAAGTCTGAAGTCTGTCTGCTGGGTAGCGGCATTTATAGGGGGTTGTTATCTCAATGGCTATTTAATCGGGTATCAAGGTCCAAGTTTCTTAATTTTAATAATAGTAATAAATAAATCTTAAGAAGAATGAAACAGCAATGAAAAAACATAACTAGTAAAGTTGTAAAAAAGGCCTCATTGATCAAGATCTAACCAACTTTTGAACATTTAACATGTAAATGTTGTTCAATGTTACTTTATTTGCATCCTAAGTGATTGATTGCGCGGCTAGTGAATTGCAAGAAGCGAAGGAAAGTTAACAGTCTACCAAATTATTTGCAATAAACGTTTGCACTTTTACTAATATTAATAGATTCATTAAATGCACATTAACCGAATGTATTTCGATCCGAAACGTTTACTGATGTTCTTCTATTGCAAAGCCCGGAAACCTACTTTTCAAACAGTCGAATTTCTCAAAATGTTGATTCTTGTAAGAGGGTGGAAATCTACCCATGTGTTCTGAAAATTCCAATAGATAGATATGGATAAAATTTAGTGGAAAGCTAATTTTCTGATATTCGTTTCTAACTTGAGTTTAAAAAGAGTTTGTTCAAAAAATCCATTCACCATGTTTGCGTTCAAATGAGGGCAATTGATTCTGTGGCTTGATTCCATTTCAAAACCGATTACCAAAAAAATTTGCGTCATTTTAATTAGGTTTTGCTAAGCCCGATTTTAATTAAAACCAATCCACTGTAAATCTTTAAGTAGGCTTCAACCAGCCCTCGGTGCTGGCCCTTAACGGGAACGGGAAAACCTTATATGTACATACCTTGCTTGATTTGTCTAAATCCTTTGCCTGCTTTAATCCACAAAGGTCACTAATTCCCTAGCGAAAAAGAATTTTCATTTTTCGCTCACAGAAAAAAAAGAACCACTTGAGAAATTGGCCACAAATTTGGACGCCCGCAATGCGCTCGAAGAACCCAGAAAACTAACGCAAWGTCTTCGACTGGGACGAGAACCTCACGTAGAATGTCTTTCACTGTTGGTCGAGCTGCCGGCAACTAAACTGAAGCACCGATAGATAGATAAACCGWCAGTAGAAAATGCTTATGCTTGTTGGGACCGACTGCCCACATTGACCGATTTGTTCAAACAACAGTGTCCAAGAACGTACTGGGTACGTCCATGTGGAAACCTGGACTTTCCCAGAAAAACACGGTTAAGGCGCACCAAATGTTAACCGGATACTGACGATATCACAATAAAAGCACATTTGCCCGTTATCGAAAGATGAGCATTTGTTTGTTATGGATTGTGATAATAATTGGACAAATGGAACAGTATTTTGCCGTAGGAGTAATAATGGGTTGATAGTTGGAGTTTATCGGGAAATATATTGCGGCTGTCCAGAGTCTTGGACTTTTTAGTGTAGGGTCTGGGCAGTGGATTCTTCTGGTTCACAGTCTGATTGATTTTTTTTTTGTTGAAGAACAAACGGAAAACTGTTGATCAGAAATCTAGCTGAACCAGCTTTTGAAAGGGTTTCTCGTTCCTCGAACTCAAAAATTCTAAAAACGTTGTTGAAACTCATCAGTAAAACTTTTCATTTGTGGTAATGCTAATGCTAAGCAACAATGTCCTGGATTAGTTTTTCCCGAAACTTTCCATTAACAGGTCAAGATGAGCAAGGGCGTATCCAGGGGGGGTCATGGGGGG